GTCCTTGGCCCCCTTTTATACTGCCTGTACAGCCACAGCCTGATAATAGCCTATATGGATCATCCATGCTGGCCACCTTCGCAGATGACGTATGCATCACATATAGGTCCCGATGTGACCTGAAGGCTGACGGCATCCAAGATTTTGCGACAAAATTTGCGGACTGGGCAAGGCGATGGAACATTGCCATCAACAGCAGCAAATTGGTCTATGTTTGCTACACGCTGAGGCGGAGAACGCCGCCAGCCGTGCTCCTGGATGGAGATCCAGTACCGCAGGCGAATGTTGCTAAATACCTCGGAATAATACTGGATCGGAGACTCACCTTCTCCAAGCTCGTCACGGCGCTTACAATGCGCTTACGTGCGGCTGTGAAGAAGCACTATTGGCTCCTATGCTCGCGCAGTAAATTGTCACTTACTAATAAGGTGACAATTTATAAACAGATTATTGCGCCAATATAGCGATATGGGTGCCAAATCTGGGGGCTGGCTTGTTTGTGATAGCCAAATTCGTCGAATACAGGCCACCCAGAATAAAATCACGAGATTGGTTACCGGCGGTGAATAGTTTATAAGAAATACCATATTGCATCGTGACCTGAAGTTCTCCACGGTCTTTGACGAAATAAACCGACATTCTAGTCGGTACAATAACAGATTTGAGCGGCACAGAAACCGGCTGGCAAACATGCTAACAAGAAACCGTACGCCAAGGAGGCTCAACAGAAGGCAGCCAAGGGATTTAATCCTCCGATCTCCCCATAGGACGGTCAACAGAAGCTGGCCTATTACCTATTACTATTATTATTGTATTGTGTTGTAAATATGTATTTGTAAATATTTGGAAATATTGTGACAACTACTGTAGTTAGCCGGCGCGCAAAATGGGCAGAATTAATAGCTAATAAGCTCACAAAGGGTTTACTAGGTTACCCCGTATGGCTTTAATAAATAATAATAATAAACAAGTAAGAACGTTGCAGTCAGGCGTTACCGACTGCGGAATACTCATTCACATCCCATCAACAATATAGTAGTTAAGTTTCGCTCTAATACTGTAGAATATACAGGTTTTTCCGATTTGCAACGCCCTAACTGGGCGTAGACACCTCATTTCTGGTCAGTTTTTACAAAGTGATAACGGTACCCTAACTGCAAAGTTTGAATGCTTACCCTCAAAAAATGTGAAAATTACTGGGTATTTTTCGATATGCCACGCCCCTAAAAAGGCGTAAAAATTATTTTTGGGGAATCGATAGAGGAGGCTACCAGTAACTCAACTATCCAAATTTAAAGCTTGTAGCTATTATACTTTAGGAGATATAAACTTTTGTGGTTTGCCACGCCCCCTGTGGGCGGACATATATCCGACAAAACTTTTTGGTCTTGGGTGATCAGTCCGAGTATATATACAAAATTTGAGGTCTCTGCCATCAATAGTGTCCAAAATATAGGAGAATTTAAAAAATCACTATATCTTCAGGTCCGATTTGCCACGCCCCCAATAGGCGTAGACTTATAATTATACTCATTCACGAAAGTGAATCAGTATATTGGTTTTGTGCAATGTCCGTCTTGCTGTCCGTCCGTCTGTCCGTCCGTCCGTCTGTCCGTCTGTCCGTCTGTCCGTATGAACGCAATCTATTTCGGCGCTATTGAAGCTAGAGACTTGAAATTTGGAACACATACTCGTGTATATCTCCGATTTATAAAGTGTTAAAATTTTCCCGATCCGCCCACTAGGGGCGTGGCAATGTCAAATCATGTTAGTTAAAGAGCTAGAAAGCTGAAATTTGGTATGTAGGGCCGCGTTGACCACCCAAGATCACGAGCTATGGCGGATATATCTACGCCCATTGGGGGCGTGGCAAATCGGATAAAACTGTATCTCCCAAAGTTGTAAACCTAGAATGCTAAAATTTTGCACGTCAGCTAATGGTATGACTCTATAAAGTCTATAGATAAAATTATAAGTCTATGCCCATTGGGGGCGTGGCAAATCGGACCTGAAGATATAGTGATTTTTTAAATTCTCCTATATTTTGGACACTACTGATGGCAGAGACCTCAAATTTTGTATATATACTCGGACTGACCACCCAAGACCAAAAAGTTTTGTCGGATATATGTCCGCCCACAGGGGGCGTGGCAAACCACAAAAGTTTATATCTCCTAAAGTATAATAGCTACAAGCTTTAAATTTGGATAGTTGAGTTACTGGTAGCCTCCTCTATCGATTCCCCAAAAATAATTTTTACGCCTCTTTAGGGGCGTGGCATATCGAAAAATACCCTGTACTTTTCACATTTTTTTAGGTTAAGCATTCAAACTTTGCAGTTAGGGTACCGTTATCTCTTTCTAAAAACTGACCAAAAATGAGGTGTCTACGCCCAGTTGGGGCGTGGCAAATCGGAAAAACCTGTATAATCTACAGTATTAGAGCGAAACTTAACTACTAAATTGTTGATGGGATGTGAATGAGTATTCCGCAGTCGGTAACGCCCGACTGCAACGTTCTTACTTGTTTATCTTTAGACTTTATAGAATCATACCATTAGCTGACGTGCAAAATTTCAGCATTCTAGGTCTACAACGTTAGGAGATACAGTTTTAGCCGATTTGCCACGCCCCCAATGGGCGTAGATATATCCGCAATAGCTTGTGATCTTGGGTACAGTGTTGCCGAAACTTTTTCAGCAAAAGTAGCAAAACCGAAGGCTGAAAGTAGCTAGAAGTAGCCAACTTTCTTCTAAAATAGCTGAAAAAGTAGCAAAAAAGAAAACAGTGCTGTTTTTTCATAAAAAGTCAACTTTATTAATTTAATTCTGATAATATCTCATCTATGACCACCAGCTCGTCATTTTCACCATTGTCGCTTTTATAATTTGCCTTTTTAAGGTAGTTGGGTGGAACGCTATACTCATAGCAACATTTGCCATATCGGCGTAATCCATATGTTTTGTGGACATACAATCTTAATGAAACTTTCAAAACGTGATCATATGGCTAAAATGTGTGTACATTCCAAAGCACAAGTCTCTAGTACTTGAAATGCGTTTTTTACAAAATGATGGCGTCAATGGGTCAGGGTATAAAAACTGATAAGAAATGAATTTTGCATAGCATATTAGAAAGCTTACCTATTCTTCAGTTGTAGTATTAATGCTACACAAAGCTCAGTACATTTAAATCATTTACATTTAAAAAGTATCGAAGCGAATTTTGTTATAAGTTCGCTTGCATTTTAGCTAAATTTAATATTTGAAAATAGCCAGATTTGTAGCTAATAGCTGTTTGAAAATTTTTGTAGCAATCGGCCTTAAAAAGTAGCCAGATCTAGCTACAAAATAGCTGATTCGGCAACACTGCTTGGGTAGTCAACGCGGACCTACATACGAAATTTCAGCTTTCTAGCTTTTCAACAAACATGATTTCTGGTATATCGGAAAATGGATTTTCCGATTTGCCACGCCCCTAGTGGGCGGATCGGGAAAATTTTAACACTTTATAAATCGGAGATATACACGAGTATGTGTTCCAAATTTCAAGTCTCTAGCTTCAATAGCGCCGAAATAGATTGCGTTCATACGGACAGACGGACAGACGGACAGACGGACGGACGGACGGACAGCAAGACAGACATTGCACAAAACCAATATACTGATTCACTTTCGTGAATGAGTATAAAAAGTAAGAAAGCTCTAGTCGAGACTGCTCGACTACGAGATCCCCTGAACCCTTGGAGCAATAGATATTTCAATAATTTTTCGCGTCTTTCAGCTTACACAAGAAACACGCACACACACACACACACGCACGTACGTACACACAGCCATACATACACACACACGCATACAGACACAAACGCATACACACACTCACATACACACACACATACACACACACATACATACACATACACAAACACATACACACACATACACAAACACATCAGATTATGATTATAACATGAATATGCATGTAACTGCCAAAGCATAAGTCTCTAGTATTTGAAATACGCTTTTTACAAAAGTGATGGTGAGGGGGTAAATTTTAACAAAAACCGAAATTGTATAAATTGCATATTAGCATACATTAAAAATTTTGAGACTCTAACAATAAAGGTGTAGAAGATATAATTTTATAACTGGTTTTCGATAAGGTTTTTTATCGATCAAAAAAGATCGGGATGAGTTATCGATTTTTAATGATAAACTTGATATGCGCGCTGTAATTACGGACATTTTAAAAAAATCTTCTGAAATCTTCTGAAATCGACGCGTTCATACATACGGACAGACGGGCCAAATCAACTCAGCTCGTCGCCCTGATCAAGAATATATATACTTTGTGGGGTCTGCCACGCCTCCTTCTGCCTGTTACATACATTTCAACATAACCATTATAGCCTGATTTCCCATTGAAAATGGGTTCAGGGTATAAAAAAAAATATATATCTTTTGTATTAACACAAAGAAAGGGTTTGAAACTTTATGGAAACTCGAGATCATTTGCTATACATATACATACTCAGCTATAAATTAGAGGAGGCTGAAAATATTAAGCTTAACATTTATAACTGTGGACCTATCCACAGTGAGGTAATAATCGTTCCACAGAAATGGCCTGTCCATTGAGACAGCTATGATTACTATATAACGTCTTACTCGAACCCCTGAAATAATAGATCCACAGAATGCCAGATGAAAACAGTATCTGAAAAGATTAGTTCAATCTTCAAAGATAGCAAATAGACTCTAAAGCACATAATAAATTTCTTTATTTTCATGCTAAACGCAAGTAATCTAAATGGTGTTAGTCTTAACTGTAGCAGGCGAAACCTTTCATGGGAAAGAGAGATAGATTGACAGATAGTGAGGATAAAGAACGTGAGAGCAGTGAGAAAGAGATATAGAATGAGAGAATGAGAGACAAAGATTAAAATATATATATAAGTAAATCAACTAAGAGACTAGATTATTTGAAAATTTGTTGTCGTTTACGATTATGCTTAGTACAGCAAAACTATGTATTTAAAACACAAAAGAATTTAGATTGTGATGGTCCTTGGTATTTCCACGCACATGGTTTTGTCATTGGAGGCACTCCGCTGCCTGATTTGGTTAGAATCATGTTTCAATTTAGCTAAGAAACAATGTATATGGGCGGTCTGGCACGCTTATAATAACACGATCTCTAACATCATTGAACTCGGAATCATCTATCTCCGACGTTTGCGTCGCATCCGGATCGACATCGACGTCCGCATCGGCAGCCTCATTATCCACGTCCGCAATGATGTCCATATTTACCTGCATAGCCACATCCATATCCACATCCAAATCCATATCCACATTCACATCCATATCCACATTAAAATCCATTCCCTCAGCCTCATCTACATCGTAATTCAAAACCCCATACTCCTCGCCAAACTCCGATTCATTGTCCTCAGAGCCGGCTATTTGCCGTGCATTTTCCGGAGATTGATCCCCTGTGTTCGACATATACAGACGCACATTCTCCTCTGTATAGTCGACAATGTGGCGGCGCGTTTTGCTCAGATACTGTTTTTGTCGCAAATATATGGTTAGGATGCCCTTCACCCCGATGAACGTAGCGCCACCAAGCAGTGTCCGATATAGCGGAGGTGACATGTTCCTATAAATGATATTGCCCATTAGCTTGGCAATGCTGGGCAACAGAATGCCACCGCAGAAGAGGCGAGAGAACTGCACGGGCTCATCGGGCACTGGCAGCGGCATCAGTTCTCCGGGCATGGGCTGCCGATTGAATAGACGATTGACAAGAGGCAAGCTGCCTGCAATGGCGCGGCGTTTGTGCCAGAGCCGCAGCACGGCGTCTTCCCAGCGTATGAGACGGCTGAGTATCAGTGCCACTGGGATGAAGGGTAGGCCGACCAGCAGAAAGACTGGGTCCCCCTTCTCCATAAGCTCCATGCCGCGTTGCTGGCCAAACACCTGGATGACCGTAATGCCGCCATAGGTGACAGCCGTCCAATAGACGGAACCCAAGAACGCGCTTGCTGCCAAAAACGGACAGCATTGGCGGATGAAGTTCTGGATGCGCTCCAGGACCGTGGCCACGCGGCTCACCTTCGGAAAGACAATGATGTATTCAACGCGACACTGCATGCAGGTGACCTTGGTGCGCGAATTCCCGTTCTGCTTCTCGTCGATCCAGCGATAAAGGCAGCTCTCGTGCACCCACTTAGTACTGCCGCTGCACTGACACGGATGCAACCAGGTGGCCATGCGGTTCTCGGCTTCCGTGGCAAAGCATATCCAGCAGGTGCGCTCCGATTCGCGCCTTGTCGAGTGTGGCGTCATGCTCAGGGCTGGAACAATGCTTTGACCATTCATGTCTGCAAACTAATCCCCGAAACGATTGCGATTGCCAGGTAGAATAAAAAATAAATATTTAAGAGTTACAAAAATAGAGAGTAAAATGTTTGGCAAGGCGTGCGATGTTTTTCAGCTGCCACTTATAAAATATAATAATAAACTCGCTATGCTCCCTACACCCTACGAAAGTCAATCAGGGAAGCAAGTCTAGACCTAGGTAACACACTAAAGATGACTTCACCGATCCAAGAACGACAAGCGACTTACTAATTCTAAAAACTAACTATCTATCAGTATCAATAATTTTCAACAAGTAATCAAATATTTCCAAACTTCAAACATTTTTGTTATTACAAAAAAAAAAGTGACTGAGTCAGGTTTTTATACCCTGATCCCATTTTCAATGGGAAATAAGGTTTTGTTGAAATGTATGTAACAGGCAGAAGGAGGCGTGGCAGACACCACAAACTATATATATTCTTGATCAGGGCGACGAGCTGAGTTGAGTAGAGTTGAGTTGAGCTGAGTTGTCCGTCTGTCTGTCCGTCTGTCAGTATGTTTGAACGCGTCGATTTCAGAAGATACAAGAGCTAGAGACCTCAATTTTTTTCTAAAATGTCCATGTATACCACGCGGATATCGAGTTTTGCTAATAACCACTCGCGATATTTTTTTTATCGATAAAAGACCTTATCGAAAATCAGTAATAAATTTATATCTCCTACATCTTTAAAGCAAGAGTTTCCAAATTTTATATGTATCCTTATATGCATTTTATACAATTTCGGTTTTCAAAAATTTACCCCCCACCCCTATTTCACCCCCTCACCCTCTCATTTGTAAAAGGCGTATTTCAAATACTCACATTTGTAAAAGGCGTATTTCAAATACTAGGGACTTGTGCTTTGTCAAATACATGCATATCTATGTACATATGTTGTATTCATAATCTGAAAGTTTCATGAAGATAGTCCATCCACAAGAAAAGTTATTAAACAATTAAGTTCCCATAGTAAGCCAACACTGCAGCCAATGCGTGTTTATTCCTGCGTACGTATGTCTGTGTGTGTGCGTGTGTGTGCGCATGTGCGTATAATTATTGAAATATCAGTTGCTCAGGGTTCAGGGGATCTCGTAGTAGAGCAGTCTCGACTAGAGCTTTCTTACTTGTTTTAACTAATTTGCTTTTTTCCAATTTTTTCTGTACTGATCAATTTATCATAATTTGTAGCGATGACATTGCAGTTGAATTAAAACTAAATAGTTCATTCTTGATTCTATGCAAATAACAAGTAAGAACGTTGCAGTCGGTCGATGCCGATTGCAGAATCGGATACCGGCTTTAAGCTAGCAGCAGATCAGCGTGATTTTCCAATACATGTGCAAACACTCATCGTCTATTCTATGCGTACAGAGAGAAGCGCGCCTTTTCTCACATTCTTAGAATTTCGATTGATTTCTGGACTTTCTAGCTGTTACTGTAGTACTGTTTTGTCTGATGACGCTCTCTAAATAAGCTATTCTATTTTAGGCTGGTCAAGCAAAGCAGTGGCGCGGGTGCTAAGGGCGACGCAAATTATGTTAGAGTAGGGGAGGTTCGAAACCTCCTCGATGCTTTTTTTTTTTTTTTTCATACATATTTCGTTTCTTTATAAAATAGATATTTTATTGGGAAGGTGCGAGCTTGAATGAATGGCACTTAATACTTTTCTTTTTCTTAGTCGAATAATTTTATAAGTTTCAATTTGTTCTTAAATAGCCCTCAAATACATATACGCTAATACATACATATGCATATATGTATATGTCGGAGGTAAATTGATAGCGTACAGTATTTTGAAAATACGCGCCAGTACTCATAAGGTTCTGTTGAGTGAGCAGTGTTGTTCTATGTGTGATCAGATTGGGATAATGCAACACTAAAATGGTGTGACGTCAGTAAATGCTGATATCGAGTGTGGCTCAGGGTTGTGTTGGACGATGAATGTGAAAAGCGCGTCACTTATGCTTGTGAAGAGAACCCAACAGCACGCTGAGACTCGCTGCACAATTTTAGTGGTGTAATGGAGGGCAATATTCACGAAGAGTCTACCTTGACTGAGAATTTAAATAGATCGCCGATATGTACATATATGTATGTACATATATGTAAATCTGCACGCATAGCATCAAGCATTCCAGCCTTATACACGCGCTCACTTGTATGTGTGTATGTATGTACACATAAATGCCTTCTCTAGCATATTCTAAGAATCTCGTTGCGATTGATTTGTCTTTGCATTGTTTTTGAATTTCCAGCCGCTACACTGGCTTTTCTTTGCTATGTGGTGTCATAACAATAATCTGATTTCGTTTTAACTACTGTTGCTCGAAATGACGCGGTGGTGCTGTAGGCAGAAGCGCCGGCGATCTTTACGTTAGATATTTTGACAAACATGCTATTCGGCTTGGGTGCGAGTTCAAATCCCGCGGAAAACTATTTTTTGTAAATTGCAAATTTTTTATACCCTGAACCCATTATCAATGGGAAATCAGGGTATAATGGTTTTGTTGAAATGTATGTAACAGGCAGAAGGAGGCGTGGCAGACCCCACAAAGTATATATCTTCTTGATCAGGGCGACGAGCTGAGTTGATTTGGCCCTGTCCGTCTGTCCGTATGTTTGAATGCGTCGATCTCAGAAGATATAAGCGATAGAGACTTGAAATTTGTTATACCACGCGCATATCAAGTTCTGCTTTAAATATCGATAACTTGCCCCGTTTTTTTGTTACCGATGAAAATTAATATCGCAAACCAGTAATAAATTTATATTTCCTACATCTTTAAAGCTAGAGTCACCAAATATTTAATGTAGATTTATATGTACTTTATGGAATTTCGATTTCTCTCAAAATTTACCCCTACCCCTAATTCAACCCCTCACCCTCACCTTTGTAAAAGGCGTATTTCAAATACTAGAGACTTGTGCTTTGGCAAATGCATATCTTTGTTATATTTATAATTTAAAAGTTTCATGAAGATAGTCCATCCACAAGAAAAGTTTTTCAACTATTAATTTTTCATAGTAAGCCACCGCTGCATCCAATGCGTGTTTATGCGTGCGTATGTCTGTGTGTGTGCGCATGTGCGAATAATTATTGAAATATCAGTTGCTCAGGGTTCAGGGGATCCCGTAGTCGGGCAGTCTCGATTAGAGCTATCTTACTTGTTACTCTTAAACTGTAGGAGATATAATTTTTTGCCGGTTGCCACGCCCCCTGTGGTCTGAGATAAATTCGCCATAGCTCGCACCTCTAATGAGTTTCTGGCCGACCCTTCGACTCATCCCGAAGGATTTTGTCTTCCAAGTTTACGGGATTGTAGACGTCCAGGATGAACTTATGTGTAACACGGCCGTGTTCGCTGTCATCTTACAGGAGCTGCCGTTCACGCAATAAGCGTTCGTCCAGCAAAGATATCCTGATCCACCGGTGGAGCTCCAGTTAGCACTTCAAGAGCATATATAGATACCGCTCGGCACGTAGGAAATCTTCCTATCAGTATGATGCGATGGCCGGAATTTCTCATCGCCGTCATGTACCACATCGAAGTACCAAACAATACACAAGGCACCATGAGTCCGGCATATATCCTTCGCCGGACTGAGGCCCCAGTTGACGCGTAGCACACGGCTCAGAGCTCCGACTCCGACGACGATGGTATTGCGTGATATACTGCAAGTATGCTCCAGCAAAACTTACGGCGGGATGCCAGCTGACAGCTCTCCCTTAAAGAGCATTGTCACAGTCTTTGTTGCCGCGACTGTTACGCCCTGTTATCTAACAATCTCCATCAGTTGAGCACCTGTGAGCTCAAGTCCATATTTCGAATTTTCCTCGACGTGCAGCAGCAAATCGTCAGCATATTCACAAAATGTGCAATACGCTTCCAGGCGGCGCTAGAGGACATCCATCAAAATGTTCCATATAAATGGACCACTGATGGACCCCTGCGGGCAGCCACTTGAGACATTCACATTGGCTTCGCCAAAGCTACTTACGATTCTAGCTTTTCGGTCCGAAAATAATCTGCGTCAGATTCCAATTTCCCTGCATCCTAGATCCAATAACGCTGCGTTCCATTTAACGTGGTCGAGTGCTCACTTGAAATCAATGGAGATTCCGAGCACATATCGGGCCGGGCTGGCCTAAACACTGCTCACCACGTGCCTCCAGGCATCCTCAACGCAGCGTCCAGCTGCCATCGGCTCTCGTCCGCGAGCACCCCTTTTGTATGGTTCACCATAATCCCTTCCAGCACTTTGCCAAACATAGACCACAGCCAAGTGACTCAATAGGATCACTCCTGTCCTTGTCGAGGCCTTTGGGATGGCGCGCCAAGCCGCTTTAACCATACCCCCAGTTATGCCATCTAAGCTAGGTGAGCGCCTGCTCCGAACTCTGGCGATGCATATCTCGGCCTCGAAAGTTTCGAGGGCTGGGGGTACTTCGCGAGGAACAGGAATGTCCACTGGCCTCTCCGCAGCAGGAAAAAAGCTGCGGAGCAGAACATTCGCGCAGTCGAGCCAGGTTACGTACTGTTCATTGTTCCAGCGAAGGCAACCGAAAAATAGTGCACGTCTTGCGGCCTCTGCATACCTTGTAGACTGACCCCCATGGGTCATCCTGATGCTCGCCAACAAATCGGTTCCAGTCTTCCTCCTTCGTCTTAAGTATCATCCTCTCGTATTCCTTTCGGGTGGTCCTGAAATACGAGGCAATAGCACTGGCACTCTCACTGTGAGTGCGGCGCGCATGCTGGAGCCTACGCCGGGCTCTGCTGAGCGCACGGCGTGCCACCGTGAGGGCGGCATTCCACCAGCCCACACGACGTCTGGCTCGCGGTTGTCGACGCCCAAACAAAATGTCGCTCACCTGATAAACCAGGGAGCGAAGTGCAGCTACTTGTGCATCTGACGACAAAAGTCGACAGTCCTGCAGAGGAATTTCCATCGATGCAGTCCTCAACTCATCACAAAAACGCCGACTGTGCTTTCCGAGTCAAGCGTCAACAGTGATGATATTGTGGTCATTTAAATCGCAATCGCTTACACTCCAGTCATACGTTGCGGTTGTCGAGCGTGAACACTCTGCTGCGGACATTCAGCACGCCGGCTCGACTGCCCTGAACATAGTCAGTTAGCAGTTCACCCCGCTGTCTGTTCAAGTAGTCCCGAGAGCGCTCGCTTACTGAATGCAGACGATTTCCTGGTCGTCTACGACAATTGGAGCTTGGTTGCGGCGGTCGGAGAAAACTCGTATACCTGCCGGCAATCCGGTGAGCCTTCCTCCACGGTCAACGTATGGTTATTGCAACGGCAGCTCTG